AATTATTTATTACATATTAGTTTTTGTGTAACTGAGCTCTCAACGAACTAAATCAAATTCCGTGTCCCTGGCGATAAGTTACAAAGTCACTGACAAATTTTCTAGTAATTCTGGTCAATAATAAAAAAATTTAGCTTAGCCAGCTGATTTTTTTTGATATTAACCAATTACTTTTTTTATTTATAAAATATTATCAACTTATACCGTCTTGCAGGCAAATTTGCCTGCAAAAACGTAGTAACATGTGACCTTGGATGGTGTAAGGAGCAAATCAACCCTCAAGCATAACTACTCAAATCATTTTCGTAAAAATACAATTTATACTTAGCAAAATATGATTTGCAGACAATTTTATTATGAAACTTTTTATTATATTAAATTATATGTATTTAAACTCTGTACGTAACTGATTTGAACTCACCTAGTATCGTCACCAAAATCAGGTACGTAAGCGCTGCTTAAAATTCGATCCAAGTCTTAGCATAAATCACGAGATTATCGAAAAAAAAACTGGTGAAGGAAGTTTTTTTTACTTATTCGAATGTGAACTTTAGTTATTGCTTCAAATTTTGACATTCAACTTCGAATACTTAAAATATATTTACGTCAAAATTTTATTTTTATTTATTATTTTTTTAAAATTTCAAATTTAAATTTAATACTATAGAAAAGGGGGTTTTTTTCTGCTTATTCGAAATCTTTAATGTTATCTACTATTTTTTGAATAAGCATGAAATTTGATTCGATACCTTGAAGCCTTCCTTTTTTGCTTCGAAAGATTATTAGACTTTTTAAAATAATCTAACATCTGAAACAATAAAAATATTATATTAATATATACCTCAGAGTTTTTTTGCAATTTTTTTTTTCTAATTTGAGTTCATTATTTTCAGTGCTTGATTCTTCATCCTCATATTGTCACGATCTAGAATAGGATCGTCGATAATTTATGAAAGATCGATTTCATAATTAAGTAATAAAATATCATAATCAATAGATATAGCATATAAAGCATATAAAGTAAATGTAATGTAATTAGCATATAGAGTAAATATAACGTAATTAGCAGATATAGTTGATTTAGTATATGTGGTCGATAGGAAATAAGTATATAAGCTGTATATTCCAAATGTAAAGACGAAGAGCAACGGAACACAGTAATAAAAGATACCCACCTTATACATTCGGCTAAATCCAACGCCTCTTTCGAGTGTTGTAACGTCTGACGTTACGCGAACAACCCACGGCTACCCTATGAATAGGGAATTCTAGGGTAGTTCCGCTTTGTATCGTTACAATATATATTTTGTCTGAATTATCAGGTCGATCATTAAATTGATTTGTATATGATTAATTAGACACAACAGTCAAATATTTTTCATCCCCGTAATAAGAGAATTAAATTAATGCTAAGTTTAAAAAAAATTTAAAGAACAATACATACGATAATAAATTTCTAGAAAAACGATGCATTCACCTTTCTAAGAAAATTAACTTCATCTATGACATGCTTTTTTAATTCGTTAACTATTCAAATAATATCTACAACAGTCTTGTGTACTGCACTTCTTCAATGCTCATGAATTTTTTCCCCATAAACTATGTATTCAAGCTCTTTTGATTTTATATTATTTCTTTTTTCCCGCAAATATTATGATTTCTTTTCTGTTTTCATTTATACGGTATATACTTGAAGCATGTTTTTTTATTATTTTGAAATAAAACAATGAGTTTCATAATTACGTAGGATCATAGAAATATTACAAAGTTCAAAGAAAAAAAATTTCATCCTATTATTGTATTATACTGTATGTACAGTAGTATTAAGCACAGATTACGTACCTGATTTTTGTGGCGATACTAGGTGGGTCACTGATTTGGGTGGTTATTCTTGGTTCGTCGGAGCAAACCCAGCATCACCCATAAAAAAAAAATACAGATGACATATATGAGTGCTGCAGAGCGAAAAGCTGTAAGTGTATATTTAAGTTTTCATCATGACGAGTTTAGCCCATTTAGTCTTGTGAATTCTAATGTTACGTAATGAATCATAATCAGTGTCCTAGTCGTTTAGTAAAATTTTGTAGAAATGTATTGTTATTGTTACTGAACTACAGGAGGAACCGTATAAAAAAATTATTTTACAATACCAGATAATTTCGCTAGTACATGTTATGATTATAATCCCACACCATTTTATTATAATAAGAATGGTGTGGGATTATAATCATAACATGTACTAGCGAAATGATCTGGTATTGTAAAATAATTTTTTTATATGTTGCACACCGAGTGAAGGATCAGTCGTGTAACATCGACGGTTCCTCCTGTTTTACTGAACTATCAAAAGATTGTTTATCAGTACGTAATATCGAAGTTCTTCAGGGGCTAAATTCACCATGATGGGAACTTAAATATTCACATATAATGATAAAGTTGAGTGATTACTAATCGATTTGTGAATTAAAAAATACTATATAGACAAGTGAAGTTATGACATCAGCTGTATTTTTTTTATGGGCGATGCTAGGACTGTTATCTGTTATTAATCAGGTACGTACGTATATTTGGCAAAAAAACTTTCATTCAGATGTATGTAATTAGAAAACGATAAAATTTTCTAATAAAAATTATTATTCTGAATCATATTTCGCTTATTGAATTTGATTATTAATGTAGGACATGTGATTGCCAAATTGTTTGCCGTGACTATTTCTCTTGATGGCACAGGTAAAAATCAGACATGCCATGGCCTTTGCAGGTCTCGTGATTATAAATTATCACCAGCCAATCACAACATAGAGGGTTTTTGTAGATTATCAGATTATCCCGTGATATATATAATTTTTATTGGCTAATAGAAATTAATTGGAAATTTAAACTTTAACTAAATCTTCACGAATAAACAACTGATATTTATATATAACTATATCTAAACGAAATTAATACCAGCAGAAGTTTTATAAAAAACTTTAAATTTAAACCTATAAACTTGTTGCTAAGAAAATTTCGACAAACCAGAATTTTATTAAAGGAATAATTCACAAATCAAAAAAAAAAAATATGGACAAAAAAATGAACCAAAAACGAAAAATACAAGAAATAAATGGTTGAATCTATTCTAGAACACTAATTGCTAATAAAAAAAATATTCCGAAACAATCACTTTCTAATAATGTGATAATTCAATTGTTTGATCATTTTTCTGATTTTACTTCTTGCGTAGAAGTTGTGAACATTATATTAGTGAAAGTTAAGAAAAAATTAAGCAAAGAAAAAAATAGTGAGCGAAAGTGAAAGTAAAGAGTTAATTAAATGATTCGAAAGATCGAATAATACATACGAAAACGACGATGCTTACGTCAGACATTACGGATAAAAATGTTATCAGTTAAGTTGCAGCCGATAAATTTAATTATCGTCGGAATTTATAACGCGGAGCATGCTTCGCGGCAAGTGCTCGCATTATATCCAGACGATAATTAGTTACCTAACCAATAACAAGAAAAATTACATTCAGAAAGGTTAAGCATATATTTGGGCCAGAGTTTAAAAATGAATTTATGAGGGTAATGCATTTAGAAAAGATGCATTTTAAGAAGGTTCTTCTGTATATAACTCAATCACGGTATTGAATTGGCCAATTAGATTAAAATTTGTAGATTATATATATTTTTATAAGTCAATATGCTTATAAGTTAGAGTTAGATTAGGGTTAAGCATTAGCATGCCCTTTGGCCATAAGGCATGCCCATGTCTCTGTGTCCTAAACCCCACTCTTGACTAATTACCTGGCAATTTTTTTACTAAAAGATGCAAAAGTAAAAGAAACTAAAGTTAAACCTGCCTTGGATTGCAATAAAAACGGTGATAAGACAGGTTCTCGAACTTTGACACACAGATTCTTACCTAAACATTAATTAGTGCATATATATCGAACTTGGGTTAACTGTTTCACTCATGATGACAGAAATTCGTGTTATATATTTAATAATTTCAGTAGAAATCTTTAACTTTTCTCCCAGTTCAGATTGACCTGAGTTAGAGTTATAGTTTAGGCAGATCTGTCAATTCTAGTCAATCATTATGTTGCTGACATCTAACATAAGTATATATTTAATCTGAATGAAAACCATTAAAGTTCGAAAGAATTCGATTGGCTAATTTAAGCTAAGGAATCAGTCCGATCTACCAATCAAAATCCGTGATTTGCAAACACACCAAATACTGCTAGATATAATGTCCTTCAAACAATTAGGATTAATACGAAATTATTCAAAATTTGCAATTCTGATTGATTAATCCTTTATTTTAACCAATTAAAATTACAGATAAGTAAATATAACTTTTACTTGCATGATTCGAGTCCTTATAGAATTAGAAAAATCTTAAAATATAATTTATCAATAATTCGTGAATTTCAAAAACAACAATAGATAAATCTAAATGAAATAATAATTAAATCTCAAACTGTGAAATTGATCACAAGAAAAATTCGCAAACAAACGACAACGTCAGGGCATAAGATCGATTTTCCTGTCACATGATTTTACGACGTCAATCAGCCAATTAAAAAGCAATTCAAAACAAATCACGGTTATCATCTTTTGAGTTCTAACAAAAAAAATTTCCTTGTGCAATTTCGCTATACTGAACCTTAACCCAAACTTTAATCTAAATATAAACGAAGTTTTTGGCTTAACATTTGTTTTCCGAGTATCACGTGACAGTAAAATCAATCCTAAAATCCAAACAAACAAACCAAAACATTTTAATTTATTGTCGTGGACGATCGTGAAATTCGGATGATCTAGAAATCTAAAAATCACATTTTGTTAATCACTCTAATTCCAACCAATCAAATACATTAATTTCTGTACTAGTATTATTCATAAACCTGTGAATTATATTTTTTGTATTTTACGCGTAAGCATTCAATCATGTTGATTGAAAACTCACAATCTCACAATGAAAGAATCAAATTTGTACTAATTCAAAAAATGACTGAAAATATAAAAAAATTAGAAAAGCCGTCAAAACAGCATGTTTGTGGTGGTAAATAAAATATATGCTAGCAATAAATTAAAAAAATAGCATTGATTCATTACGCGCTTAACTAATTAAATTTGATAGTCACATTTTTAATAAATCCATTTGAGAAAGATTCTTATTATAGTTTTAGATTTATGTTTTAATTTTATTACTTCTTCTCAATTAGTTTATACTGCTTCTCAACTAGTTTATACTGCTTTGCAACTAGTTTATACTGCTTCTCAACTAGTTTATACTGCCTCGCAACTAGTTTATACTGCCTCGCAACTAGTTTATACTGCCTCACAACTAGTTTATACTGCCTCACAACTAGTTTATACTGCCTCGCAACTAGTTTATACTGCCTCTCAACTAGTTTATACTGCCTCTCAATTAGTTTATACTGCCTCTCAATTAGTTTAGAGTATAAATTCTCGAAATCGCAACATTCCCCTAAACAAATAGTACAAATGACGCCTATCCTATGTGGGTCTCAAAATAATGCGTACTTTATAATAATTCTATACAAATGATTAACTTTCATTATTAAATACAATCGTGAAGAATCTGAATCTTCACATGTAGACTATTTTTTATCATGTAAGTCAATCATGAAAATTCTTTACGATTATAATAATCGATTTGTTATTTCAAAATAACGCCATGGGCGTACTCAAAATCACGCGCAGATGTCCATTACTTTGAGAATTTACAATAATTAGTAATGGTGAATTATAGGTTTAATATACATAAAAATAATTTTAATCGGTGCCTACATAGATAGATATTTTTGTGATTACTGTATCGTCGCGAAATAACGCCCCCGGGCGTTATTTAGGGGCAAATTGATTGCTTGAAAAGAGCTAATAATTAATTTAGCCGAAGATTTTTAATAACCAAAAATTATGATTTTCCATTCGTTTAAATTAATAATTAGCTCTCTTCAAACAATGTGACTCGAAATAACGCCCTAGGGCGTTATTTCGCGACGGTACGGTATGCTTAAAGACTAAAAAAGTTGAAAAGGTGAATATACAGTATTTAAATTCTTGAAACAAAAGAAGTTTAATTATATCAAAGGATTAAATTACTGTATATCAAAACATGAAGTTAATTATATCAAAACATGAATTTAATTATATCAAAACATGAATTTAATATTAAAAATACCAAACCTAAAAAATGAGATTTAATTTAAAGATTTAAAGTCACTTCATTGTAAATGACGCCAAAACCGAAGATATAATCACTTCGTCAACTTCAATTTTTTTTTTTTTACTGAACCTTGTACTATTGTCCTTGTACTGTTGCATGTGCTGCTTCTATTTTACATATTTGAAAAACTTTGTATAAATTAAATGATTTTGTTTTACAGAAATAGATAAGTAAGTTTAAACCATTATAAAGCGATCAAGTTCCCACGCGTAACAACAGAGACAGTGCCCGATCCAAAGTGAATCCCTCTCGCCTGTAATCAATCACAAATTAAATTATTCAATTGTGATGGATGATATAATTCATCACTAGTTTTAATATACGTGTAACATTAACGGTCTCTGCTGTACCCACGCGTATCTGATGTAACGAAGTCTTTTTTTATAAAATAAGAAGGTTCAATAGGTAAAATAAAAAGTTAAAACAAAACATACTATCAAAAAATATACAAGATTAAATTAAAAATAGTTAAACCATTATAAAACATGAATTAGGGTTTCTGATAAATTTCATATAGGCTCAAATAACTCCATAAACATTAAATAATAATATTATCATGCTTGAAGTCGACACCATGTTTGGAGTTACAGTTTCAAGTACCCGAAGTGTACTTGATTGAAATTAGTAGCTATAAAATTATTATTATTCATTTTATTTTTTTGCATGCGTTATTTAGCAATGTTAGGCAGTTGCATTTTCAGGCGCATGAAGTAGTAACATTGGATAGGTGCTAACTTTGGACACGAAAATATCATCCTAACTATCGAAAGGAAAAAAGACAATTACCTTTTTTGTAGTTAATAATTAAATCTTCTTTTGTAGTTGATAATTACATATTCTTTTATAGTTAATAAATATTAACACAAATCAAAGATTGAATTATACGTACTGCCAAGGATTAACCCTTGCATCAATAAAATCAGAACATTTATTATAAAAATAACTAAATTTATAAATAATAATGTTTATTCAGAATTAGAATATCAAGAAAAAGTTGTGTCATGGTCGCATGTGTTTGACGGACAATAATATATATAATTGTTGGGATGTGACGTTTTTGATGACGTTACAATTACATAAAGACTGATACGTGCGTCGTGTGTACGTACGTACGTATGTACGTCGTCACAAGGTCATGTCATCATGAAACACCATTAGAAATGTTATTGGTAAACCATTAGTAACTTATTGCATATCTAATTGTAATACGAAGTATTAGACAAAAAAAAAAAAAAAATCATAACTGTGAAGAACTCGGAAAAGGTTTGTAAAATTGACTATTTTTTTTAGTCGAGATGTTGTGAAAAATGGAATGTTGGGGAAGGGTTATTGACAAAGAAATGGTATAATAATTTTTTTAAAATGTAATGTATGAGTTTTATTACTGTTTATGAATTGTCACGACAACCCCTTACGTTACGTATTACATATCTCAAAATTGCTTAATATTTTTTAACCTTAGTTAATTATTTTCTCCGCTTAATTACTCTTTAAGTCAATATTCTATATAAAACCCCGTTTAAATACATATACATGCAGTAATCATTGTACAACTTTGATAGTTTTTGCGGCATGCTTAGAAGTGACATAGATAGGGAGTACCAAAATTTTCACACATGAATATTAGCCAATCACAGGTAGGCATTTTTTTTTGGAAGCCAACTTTTTCAGTATTTCCAATTATATCACTATCGTCACTCGAACTTATTAGTACATTTTAATAATGTTCTTTTTTCTTTGAATTATCATTATGAACCTTTTTTTTTTTCAGTTGGATATTTGCATCCTCAATAGATTAACCTGATTAAGAAAATATCATCCTAATAGAGAAAGATTAGTGCAGATTTAGAATAGATTCGCTCATGATTAGATTGGTGTAAGATATTTTGAATACAGTATACGTATACCGTTCTTTAAAATCGTCAAAAACACTGATCAAATAGTATGGAACCAAACATTTTTATATTTAACATGCATAAAATTTAAAAGATATTAATAGCTTTACAAACAGATTTTATTTATTAAATGATAATGATAGAACTTAAAAAAATCATTTGATTAAAACAAAGAATATATGTATATTATATATATATAGATATATATATATATAATATGGAAGTAATACCTATTGATTCATAAAGTATGCCTAAGTATAATTGATGTTTTTAGTTTGTTATACACGGCGTAGAAATAGATTCCATCACTTTGTATAAATAAAAAAAAAAAAAAAATTTTTTTTTTAAGTAAAAATTATTTTTACATGTAACTTAAATTGATCGCTTTATATAAAATGCTATATAAAAATGCTATATATAAAAAAAAAGGTTTATGAAGTAGGAAAAATTGTATCTTAAATAAAAATAATCGTTAGATCAAATTTAGTAAAACTCGTAACTAATACCGTTCTACTCAGAAAAATCTTGTAAATAATAGTCTAATATATTATAATTTATATCATAATTAAAGTTTAGAATACTCTGAGAAAAATCTAAATTTTGAGTAAAAGCATATTGCATAAATTCTTCATGATAAAGGGTGTCCCCCAAATTGGTATTATTGTAGTTAGTTGGTGAAGGAATATTTCCTTCAATGCCAACTATTTCAGAATTCGTATTAGATACTTCAGCATTGTGAAATTCATTATCACGTGAGTATGTGACGTGATTATTGTTCTTATTATATCCAATTACATGTGATTTATCTTTTGTTGGCATAGTATTTGAAAATTTGCAATTTGTAGTAGAAGTAGAAAGCGAAAAATTATCAAAATTGTCAGTTTTTAACATTCCCGGTTTTGATGCAAGAATAGCTTCTGGAGTGACATTAACAAATTCATAAAATATATTACTACGTGGTGGATGTCTAGATGAAGTTTTAGCACTAAAATTAAATTGTCTTTTTTTCTTTGTTACTTTTCGCCTTTGGTTAGAAAGTCCAGATAATTTTGAGTTTTTCCAAACCACTCTACAGAATGATACATTTGCCTTTCTTTTTTCATTAAGTTCACATTCAATTTGTTGAGAGACATCTTTGTAAAATGATTTAACTGATTCAGGTTCATTTTTCCAATGTGTACTGACTAATTTTGAGACATCAGTCATTTTAAGGTTGTGATTAATAGTACAAATGTGGTCTAAGAAAACCTTACGATATATTAAAAAAGCATTTGGAGCTTTTAAATTAATTTGTGAAGGTTTTCGCCTATTAATAATATCTGCTGCAACATTAAAATTTGGTGGAAAAGGAAGACTAATTGTTACATCGGTTAAGACTGCGTTGCATGTTTCTTTTTTAAAAGTAGATGTTTTGTTGATAAGTTGACTGGACATTTTAAGAAGTTCTTTTACGATCTTCGACACGAATAAATGCGGGTTTTTAAAAAAAAAACAAAAATTAAGCGTGTCGCAAAAAGCTCGAGAGAAAGTAATAAGGTAAAAATAAGTTTTTTTTGGTCTTATGCAACATTATTCCGCTTAAAATAACTGATGTACGATATGTACCTCTTATTTGTCACTAGGGAAATAAATACGTGTCGAACAATAGTAATACAGAGTTATACTTGAATTGGAATAGCACAGTAAAAAGTATATTTACTGTATTTCTACACTTTATTTCTATGCATTATTGTAAGAATTTTCGTTTCATTTTTCGTTTTTTTTTTCATTAGGGGGGGCATAATAAGAAGAGATTTTGACTGTTACTAACTTTTATATATTACAAACATTATTAATGGTAATAATTATAATGTGAGACAATGTTGTTCATTCAAAGTGGTATAGGAAAAAATGATTTTTTGATTGTTACAATCTTTTTATATATATTATATATATATATTTTTTATATCTATTATATATCTATTATATACCTATTATATATCTATTGTATATCTTTTATATATTTTTTATATATCTTTTTTACATTTTTTTTATATATTTTTTATATCTTTTTTTATATATCTTTTATATTTTTTTTATATCTTTATTATATATATTTTTTATATATTTTATCGTATAACAAAAATTTATTTGAAGAAATTATTATTAATGGTAATAATTGTGTAAAACAACTTTCTTTACTTTGATAAAATAAACACGTAAAAAAAAATAACAACAACAAGGTAAATTAAAATTGTACACAATCAAATGACAGAAATATAAGCTAACATACAGTGCTTTACTATTATATTAATTATATTATTGTAATAATTACAGTCATCTGCACCTAATCATCGAAATGAATTCGACATGTAGATCAAGAATTGATCACAGCAAATGAAGGCTTCTGGGCATTATTGGAATATTTTGATCTAATACTAATATATTTTATAAGAGTCTAATTGTATTACAATTAATGGTCTTTTGAGAGACGATTTGAGAAATTCTTTAAAACTGATGGATTTGGAAATGGACGTGATCATCTACGCATATTTACCGAGATTTTGTGTTAAGATCAACGTTTTGATTGGATGAATAGGACGCCACACTTGATAATTTGTCTACTTTTTTTGTATTTGATGCGCATTCATACACATGACTAAAAGCATACTCGGATGACGTCATAGCATTAAGGTTTAGCCGACTCTAGTACAATAACATAATCTATAGAATATTGCTATTTTCGGTGCACAAATAATATAAATAATTAAATATACAAAGTCCTAAAATATTATGTTTTCTCAACTATGTGTATACATATCAAAAGGTTGATCAAACATAAAAAAAAATATAGAATCTTATTTCAAGTGAATCGTAAACTCTCTCGATTAGGAATTTTTATTGAACCGACCAAAAAAGTGAATTTAGGAGGATATTGGTGCGCGTATTGAACCAATTTTGTTGGATTTTTTGCATGATTAACATGCAGAAGAAACAAAGAAGGAACTAACGCATCGGAAAATGTCACATACGTGTATTAGATTGTTTGTGTGTATTAGATTATGTTTGAATCAATTTTTTATTTATTATAAATATTCTATATAAATCTGTATACATAATCTTTTTTTGTACGTGCTGACATATGTTTATTGATAGATTGACGATTGGTTTAATAAATTCAAAAATTTTATCCCACCATCAAAAGAATGTTTTTTTAGTCATTCGTGTTCTCAATGCAAACAAGAAAAAACATGAATCCTGTCGATCTTGGAAAAGTAATCTTTTCATAGGTCACATAATTTTAGTTCTTTGTTTAAAAAAAAAAAAATTCATATTTAAATAAATATTTGTCTATTATTATACGTGCCAATATTAAAAAATTCGTATTTAAATAAATATTTGGCTATAATTATACGTGCCAATATTAAAATATTGACTATTAATCTTGAAAAAGGCACCAATATTACACGATGATTTATATATACTATACGCATTAGTGCAATCGCGTAACTTCCGATATATTTAAATAAATAAAAATATTTTATACGTACTATATAACATTTCATTTTAATTAAATAATTATAATTTATTTTTTTTTATTTTTTTTTTTTTAATTTAATTTTTTTGTTAAATTCGGGTACTAGCTCATGTTCATGCGTTCAAGAATTTTTTTTATAGCCATTCATACAATATAATAAAAGTGTTAAATTGTATTCTCTTGTAAATATGATTTTTTGAATTTCTTAATAAATGTATACTATATCTATATTCGTTTGTTATCTGTGAATAAAGAAAGTCCGAATATTCATTGTGAATATTGTAGTTTTTTTTTTTTATTCAAGTAACGAATATTTTATTTATGATCAGATAAAACTCACGTGACATGTTTTGATCAAAGGTGTGTACGTACGTATTTATGTAAATAGTTGCTTTAACTTACATAATTAATGTTCTAATTTCATTTTCCAATGACTGCACACCCCTAGTCACACGGTTAACTTTATTTCTTGCGAAAGTAATATATATATGCTATCTTTTATGTAATGTTAAAGATACCGAAAAAAAACAATATATATATTTTTTTTTATTTGTGTAAAAAAAAAAACCACATATAACTACATATAAAACCTAAAACGTACATAAATACATCGTGAAAAAATAATTTTAGTTTGTCCTAGTTTCGGAAATCATATAAAATCTTTTTCTACGTATAAACATACCTATTATTTGAAACGAAATGGTATGGAATATATATCAGATGTATAAGGGAATAGTTGTGTCGGCTAGCGACTAGGAATCAGTTATACACGTACTGTACGTACATACATATATATCAATATGTATGCTAAAAGCAATTAAAAGACGACTTGGATATAAATAAAAATACCCCCTTTTCCATTTTTTTTTTCCATTTTTTTCCATTTTTTTTCTATTTTTTTTCTATTTTTTTTAGCTCTGATTTTTTTGATTATTGAATTTTAAATTTAGCGATCTTAATAATTTCGCTATAAAAGGGTAATTCATTATTCATAATATTTTAATCCAGTTAATAATTCAATTAATTTTTCTTCAATAAATCTAATCTTTTGTTTGATTTTCTAATTGCATTTACCGTCTGTTTATTATAAACAACTTTCAAGTAGTGCTCTGTATTGTACATGGCGGGTTTCATACGGAAACCTTTTTTTTATTTATAAAAATTCAATAGGGGTATTTTGCATAAGGTACTATATGTTCGTGATGTACAGTAATTAAAAAGGATTATTTTCGGTGATGCATGTTAATTTAATGTCTAAATCAGAGGTGGTACGATATACATAGATTCTATTTAAAAAAAATCCTAAAAGCTCAAAATCCTGACAGAAAGCACTACAATAATAGCATTACACAGTTTTTATTCTGTGGATTTCACTAGGAGAGGAAAAAAATTTTTTTTAATTATTTTGTAATTGTCAAATAATTAAGCTACCTGGATTTTGAATTCGCTTCGTAGGAAAAAATCATTCCATTATCATTGGGAACGAAAAGTATGATGTAACTAATTGAGCGCAATAATTATAAGCTTCATTTGTCATCATCGGTTTTGTATGTCAATAATAGATGTGGATTCTTTTATTTCAAGGTTAGTTAGAGATTGAGTCTTTATTTATTAGAATTCGATTCAATTACTACCTCTATAGTAAGATGAATAGCATTACATTTATATTCAATTTTATTCAGTACAAAAGATCATTCAATTTTTTGAATTGATATAACTTTTTTTAAACAATTGAAAATAATAATCCCTCTTTCAAATTTATTATCTAAATAACCAATCTGAAAGAGGGTTATAACAGTTTAAAAAATTTGGTATTTTGAAATTTGTTGCCTATATAATTTATATATACTTTTTTTGCGAATTCTGGTTGGCTAATATTTGTTTAATATATAAAAAAATTCAAATTTTGTCCCGTATTATAGTAAATGCTAATTTCTATTCTTTTCACAATATATGCAGTGATGTGAAATAAGATTTCATAGTCGATCAGAAATGAAAATGACGATTGCTCCTTGGAACAAAACAAGGAGTATCGTAATTAAACCTTAATTACTTATCAGAAATATTCTATACACAAAAACTAATCGTTACAATGGTGACTTATTCAATTATTGGAATTTATGTTAAGAAATGGTTCGTAAAATTTTATTTTTTACATTCGACACTTTTAATGATATACTAAAGTTATACTACTCACAAACAAAATAACTTTAAAAGAAGAAAAACCATGATGAATGAATAGTAATTGCTTCAATTAATGCTGTAGAATGCTGAGTATAAAAAACCGCATTCGGATAAATTTGTTAGTGCACGGATAAATTTGAGTCTGAGCATAGAACATTTTTGGGATACAATTATAATTCTGGATGCTTTATTAGGAAGTGAAACTAGGTAAGATTTTTTTTAAAAAAATCTCTTACGTCATTTACATCATTCATTAACGTTAACGCTAACAAAGTTCGTCGATTTTTAGATACTGTATCGGAATTAAACAAATGTAGAAAAAAAACCCTTTTTTTACGTACTGTACAGTATATAGCCTAACCCATTACAGAATTCACCATTTCTATTCTTAGACTCTGTGAAACTCAATCTTAAATATCCTGCTGGTAAATTTTAATTATTTTGCGTCGAATTAATATTAATTGCTTTACTAAATTCTTTTTCTACAATCTAAACTAGTTAAATTTCAATCATATAATTGTTACGGTAATTTTTAGTTTATTTTATAGTCAATTATGAAACTCATATTCACAAGTAACAATGGAAATCAACCGATTTTGCAGAATATTAATTAACTTATTTATTCTTTACATCTAGTTGTGTAATGTAGTTGCACCAAAACCAAGAATAGATGGCCCAAGAATAGATGGCATAATTAGTAATCAATATTGATACGTACGTACTGTACGTACAT